ACACACACACACACACACACACACACACACACACACACACACACACACACAATAGTATAATGTGAAATTGATGGTGATATTAAGTCTTTTAAAATATTGTTAGTTTGGTCTCAGACATTAGTTTATCATTCCAGTCAGAATTAAACTCTCTGTATTGTACTTTATTGAAGAAATAGTTGCAACATTTACTACCCAACTCCCCCGTTAATRATGTCCTAATGAACTGAAGTGTTCACATACGAAGCCACAAGATGACCTCAGTCAAAAACTCAAGGGGACCTGGTGACAACTCAGAGACCAGGAAAGCCTCTGAATGTGCACAGAGGGTTAGGTTGGGTTGCTATTTGGAGCGCACAAACAAACATGCAAAAGTAAAATTGACAGAGCAGAAGAGAATGTGGTAATTGGGTATAGCAGGCCCAGGTACTGAACTTGAAAGACCGTGATGCATAATTAGAGCAGAGCTGAGAGAAATGTTTTAGATAAATTAGGAAAAGTGAGAAGAATGAAAAATTCGGCACCAGCCATGCAATTACTTTCACAAAAAAACACAAGTTATTTCTTATTATTTATTGCAGGCATATTCTGACAAAATATGACTTGCATTTCRTGTTTGATATTTACAGCTGAAGGGATGAAGTCTTGAACAGCAGCTTTTAAAACAAACAGAGGAGCTGAGCCTAGTATTCAACACTGAAAGTGCTCCATCTGCTGGTCATCCTGGGTAGTGTTAAATAAAACGAGGAAAAAAAACTGAGCATCAAAAACACATAAGACAATAAAACTATGATTTTRGATGTATGTAGTCAGCTTATATCATTATTCCTTATCTTAATTAAAAACATGTTATGCTCATCTCTGCACTGATAAAACCCTTTATCCAGCTGTGAATGGCAAATGTAGCTTTGGACCGGTCTAAAAGCCAACTACTTTTTCTTTAAAAAATGATGGAGTTTGGTAAACTTGTTAGCTGTTTAAAAAAAACAAAAACAAAAAATTTACGGACAATATAGCACAATACACAAGCAAATAAACTCTGTATTCTGTTGGAAAATAGGAAGTCTGTGTTTTGAACGACTCTCAGCTACAAACACACCTAATAATGCAATATGTGATCTAATTATAACCATCACTGTGTTGTCTACAATAAGTTGCATGTYGTGGCCATCTTGAATTGTGTTGGCTCCARAAGTTGTGTAKAGCATCCAATTCTTTTTCTTAAAGTTTTATTACAATTCAAGTAGATTCTAAATATTTTATTTTGATGTTTTAAATAAATATATTGTGTTAGGTCTCAGTCAATGTGTTGCAGTAGCTCAGACTGATCCACCACACCAAACTTTAAACC